GCAGTGAGAGATATGAGTCTGCGATCAGGGGATTGCTGACGCAGTGCAGAGATACTGGCCAGTCTGTGCATCAGTGATGCTGATGACAGTGAGCAGATATGATTTTACGTATCAGTTCATGCTGATGACAGTGAGAGGATATGGAGTTTACGATCAGTGATGCTGCAGACAGTTGGAATTTATGGAGTTTCGATCAGCTGATGCTGATGACAGTGAGAGATATGGAGTTTTACGATCAGTGATGCGGGATGACAGGAGAGATATGGAGGTACGCATCAGTGATGCTGATGCCACAGTGAAGAGATATGGAGTTTACGATCAGCTGATGCTGATGACAAGTGAGAGATATGGAGTCTGTGCATCAGTGATGCTGATGACAGTGAGAGATATAGGAGTTTACGATCAGCTGCATGCTGATGACGTGAGAGATATGGAGTTTACGATCAGTGAATGCCTGATGACAGTGCAGAGATTATGGCAGTTACGATCAGTCGATGCTATGACAGTGAGAGGATATGAGTTTACCGATCAGGTTGATGTGATGACAGCTGGAGAGATATAGCGGAGTTTACATCATGTATGCTGATGACAGTGATGAGCATATGAATTTACGATCAGGGATCGCTGGATGACATGAGAGATATGACGAGTTTATGATCGAGTGATGCTGATGACAGCTGAGAGCATATGGCAGTCTGCAACTCCATGTATGATGCCTGATGACAGTGAGAGATATGAGTTGTGATCAGTGATGCTGATGACAGTGAGAGATATGGAGTCTGCGATCGATGATGATGATGATAGCACGCGGTGACAGGGAGATATGTGGCGACTGCGATCAGTGACAATGGTAACGATGATAGATGATGATGATGATGATGCCACGTGATGACAGCGATAGACGTGGAGGCTGAGATGCAGTCATGTCGGCAGCCAATGTTAAAGTCATGCAGGGTGTGAGAGTGCAAGTAGGACTAAGCCACATCTTCCACTGCTGATACTGTCAGTGAATATAACGTGTGAATTTGATCTCAAATGTATACGTGTAAAAATGTTTCCTTGCCTATTTTAATAATAATATTATCATTTAACGAGAGATGGAAACGATCAATTATCTATCTCGTGCAGAAAGTTTTTCAGTTGAATCTCAGTCACATCTAGTTGAAGGCATTGCAAAATTAAATAAATACTCACCGTGTAAAATCTGTTGTAATAAAGTAATGACGAACAAAGTATGTGATATCGTTTGCTAGTGAACCTTTTTCTGTTTCGTCATGTTTCATGAGTCACCATTGAATTATTCATAATTCATAATGCCATCATTCCAATGCATCCACTTGCTAATGGAAGATTTCAGTATGTTAGCAAGCGAAGAAATTTATTGTGCCGAAGCGATGGCAGCGAGGGTGTATATATATAAACTTCCATTGCCAGCCCAGATTATGCTGCAATTGCTTGTGCTCAACTAGCTTATTATAACAGTGCCTTATTCTGAAGCCAAACGCCGCCAGAATGGTGTTTAGTGTGTTTTATATATTTAGTTATAAAAAGAGCTTGTGTGAGAAATATTGCATTGAAGTGTAGGTATACTAATGTTATACCGAGCTTTCTTTCTGTTTTTTTATTTTTCCCTGGTGTTTTTTTTTTTTTTTTTTTTGGTGTTTTTTTTCCCATTTTTTTTTCTTTTCTTTTTTATTTTCCTTCTGGGTGGATGCTGTGCTGTTATCTGCAGGGTATATTAGATATATATATATGGAGATAGATCTGCTAGATCTTGTAGCAGTCTGCTGTGGCGCCCCCATTTGGTATGTTTGTTTCTATCTTCTTGTTTTTTTTTGTTTTTTTTCGTTTCCTGCGCTGCGGCCGTGCGTGTGAGCGTGGCGTTCGTACGGTGGTCTGTGCTATGTGTTCCCGTTTGCCGTGCGTGCGTGCGTGCGTGCGTGTGTGTGTGTGCTTGCCTGCGTGTTTGTACGTGCGTGTTGTGCTTCTGTTTTTTGGTCTTTTTTTTTTTCTTTTTTTTTTTTTTTTTTTTTTCTTTTTTTTTTTTTTTTTTTTTTTTTTTTTTTTTTGTCCTTTTTTTTCTTTCTACGCTGCGTGTGCGTGACGAGAGTGGGAATGTGCAACACGGGAGACTGAAAACGTGTTCGCTCTGGTGAATACAAGTTGTGATTAATTTATTAGCAATGCCCTCATCGTTGTTGTGTGTTGGTGTGTAGGGATACTACTACTATTACTTGATACTATACTTGATCTCGCGGTACGGCACACATACAGCACACTTTCTCGCGCTGCCTTCTGTGTTGCTGGCTGCTCTATACCAGAAACACCCGCATAAAAAGAACCCGCTGAATTTTCAGAACTTCCAGGCTTGAAATTGGACCAATAAAGCACCCTAATTATATAAGAACCTCTTCAGCCTGAAATAAATTAAAAACAGGTTCGTTATATTATACAAAAAAATAACAAAAATGCAGAGCCCAAACTTGGTCATCCAAAGTATGTGATGCTACACATGGAAAAAACTGTCTTACTAAATTAGTCAAAAATCAAGATTTCACAGCATTTGACCTTTCAATTGGTGTTTAAATATGATAAGTAAATTAAAAGGGCTGCATAAATAACATTACTCAAATGAATTTAAAAAACAGACATAATAATTCTAATATTAAGGCCAGTTGCGCTAATTAATTAGCTGTTAATTATTCACTAATGAAAGCCAATTTTTACTTAGCATATGTACACAATACTCCCCCCCCCTAAAAAAAAAAAAAAAAACCTTTTCAGGCTGATTTTCTCACTATGCCATATATATAAAGAACTCTTCAGCCTGAAACAGAAAATCACGGGTTCTTTTATGCGGGTGTTTACTGTAGTGTACGTATCCGTCCCGGTGTGTTTATAAGGAGTAGAGTTGTTTATTTGTGAATGACATGAGAACAAACACTTACTTGTAAGGTAACCGTCGTAGGTTAACGTGTGCTGTCAAGTCCCTGCTATAAGGCGTATCTCCCGTTTGTGTTAATGTAAATATATGGACGTCATTGAACATTTTTGTTAACGTTTGTATTTGTGTTCATTCCATCCGACATTATGTAGACATTAACGTCGGCAACAACACTTTCTTAAAAATGAAAGCCGTTAGCTTAAACACGCGCCGTCGCCCTCAAACGAAACACGATCAAAATATAATTTCGTGATTAGAATCTTCATTTACACTACAGTTAGACTGTTTAATAGAAAGTTGCTATATTAAATGTGATCAGTACGTCTTCAGGATACAGTCTGATTTCCATGTAAAGCGCTGAAGCTGTGTGGCACGTATAGTAAGCGTAGTATATAGTATGTGTCATTCATGTCGCGAGCCGTGTAGTGACTCAGCGCTCCACACCCACCCCTCGTCCGTGACGAGTCCTTCGCAGTTTTTGATCCTTTCTGCCTCATTCGCAAACACTGTCCTCCTTACATTAAGCGCCTGCTGTCAAACATACGGCCCTTAGCTCACCCCTGAGGCATCGTCTACCCCTACGCCCTCACCGCATCCCCACTGACGCTTATCAATGTTCCTCTAACCCCTTACCCCAGACGTGACGGTCCTTCTGATCGTCCGTCGTGATTTACCGATCCGCAGGCCCGCGATCGACTTCCGCCTCTTGGTCACCCCGTCACCACCTCCTCTCCTTCGCGTCATACGGCACTCCAGGAACCCGTTTACCCACATGTTTGCCCATTTGGTCCGCGGTGTAGTAACGCGTGTTCACTGGCCTTATGCCTCCCATATGTCTAAAACGTCCTATTCTCGATGGAAGCACGCAATTGTCATCAGCATCACTGATCGCAGACTCCATATCTCTCACTGTCATCAGCATCACTGATCGCAGACTCCATATCTCTCACTGTCATCAGCATCACTGATCGCAGACTCCATATCTCTCACTGTCGTCACGTCGCCTCCTCATCAGTGAGTGCGATCTCAGACTTGACTGCCATCAGAGCCATGACAGCCTCCACAGTGACGTTTAGCACACCGATGCTCCGATCGTCATCGTCAGCATCGTAGACTGAAAACAACCAGCAGCCAGCCATTCATGCCCACGTTTCCCACCCGAGTAGTGTGACAGATTGCTATTGCGTGCATTAGTAATTGTTTTATCAATGAATAGCCCGATTGCTAGCAGCGTGGAAAGTATACAGAAATCATGTTAATTAAATCAAACAGGGAAAATATCTTCGATTATTTACCAATGTATATAGCACTTGTTATGTACGTGCTTATTTAACTTAAACATAGAAAATCACATGCAGTTTTTAAAAACTATGATTATGTTGACTTCATTGATATATTATGTGATGCATTGATATATTATGTGTTCACAAGATCGTATAGTTTTGATCATACATACTTTTAATATCTTTATCAATTAAGTCACTTCCATCTTCTAACATCTGAAATAAAAGAAATACAGTTTTGGCAAACGATTAAATTATTCCACCGTGAAGATCAAATTCTATTATGAAAATGCAGCCAATTTTAATTGTGAAACATAATGGGTGTTCCACTCGTATATTTTATGGGTAGATATTATACGTTTGTTCACACACCTGGTTGAAGTCCACGCTAGCATAACCTATGTCCTCACAGTCAGCACTGTGGTTGTCATCCGGTGGCTCACTAACCACTGTGAAGGTCAATCTAATAAAAACAACGTCGCACGCTTTGTTATATGTCCTGCGTAAAAAATTTGATCGAATGCAGTAAAGATAAGTTTAAGGATCGTAACGATGCATCCACTGTGCATGATTTTGTTTATAAGGTATGATACACGATTGATGATATGATAGATGATAAATTATTGAAGAAAGTTGATTTTAGTTGAAATTAGCCTTGAAATTATTAATGAATGCATCAGCTATTATTATCAACATCATCATCATCATCGTCAACGACACATCATCATCATCAGCAGCAGCAGCAGCAGCAGCATCACCATCAACATCAGCATCATCATCATCAACATCATCTCCAACAATATTATCGTTATTATTATTAAGTTGGACTTACTTTCCGTTGTCTAGTGAGTCTGGTAGTAGCATACTGGCGAGGTACTGCCTCTTCTCATAGTTACTCTCCCGATCTACGTGGAACACTGCAAAAGCAGCAAGCACAAGGGTTACATGATTCACAGCCTTTACTTCTACCTAGCATCTCGCTCTACTCTGTTCACATATACACGTGTAACATGATAACATAACATAACATAACATAACATACATACACACACGTAACATGATTGTAACATAACATAACATACACATACACATATAACAAGATTGATCATCAGTGCCGCCTTTCTAAGTAAGAACTACCCTTAATTACCACCTCACACAAGTAAGTCATATAGTAACTTGCGCCCTCTCACAGCTCTTGACTGAGCAAATAGAGACATCACGGCTGCCACCGCCGTCACTGTCACCACCATCTCTCCCATCATCACCACCAGCCCCACTACCACCAACAACAATAACAACCACAACCACAACAACAACAACAGACAGCTTAAAACTTAAGTTGCGAGATATATAGATGCCAGCAACGAACACGCGCGCCGCCTGCCTTGCCCCCCCCCCCCCGTCTAAATACCTTTTCGAAAGTTGAACGCGATCTGCTTGCGTGGCTCAGGCTTTGGAAGTGAGAACGGTGTCTCCAGCTCCTCTGGTGGCGCGTTTAGGAACTGATAGGCGACGAACAGACGCTTGACGGACGGGTCGACGTGAGCGGATGCGCTCTCGTCCAGCGTGAGGTGAGAGACAATGATGATGACCCGATCAGACATCTACATGTGGGAGAGAGAGAGAGTGAGAGAGAGGGTGAGCATGAGAGAGTGAGAGAGAGGGTGAGTGTGAGAGAGAGAGAGAGAGAGAGAGAGAGAGAGAGAGAGAGAGGGAGAGAGGGGGAGGGAGAGAGGGAGGGAGGGAGAGAGGGAGAGAGAGAAGGGGGAGAGAGAGAGAGAGAGAGTGAGAGAGAGTAAGTGAGAGGGTGAGAGAGAGAGGGTGAGACAAAGAGTGAGAGAAAGAGAGGGGGATAGAGAGAGAGTGGGAGAGAGAGAGAGAGCGGGAGAGAGAGGGAGAGAGAGGGAGAGAGAGGGAGAGAGAGCGGGAGAGGGAGAAAGGGTGAGAGAGAGGGAGAGAGGGGGAGGGAGAGAGGGAGGGAGGGAGAGAGGGAGGGAGAGAAGGGGGAGTGAGAGAGAGAGAGAGAGAGTGAGAAAGAGAGAGGGTGAGAGAGAGAGGGTGAGAGAGCGAGAGGGAGAGAGAGACAGAGAGTGAGAGAGGGAGAGAGAGGGTGAGCGTGAGAGAGGGAGAGAGGGGGAGAGAGTGAGAGGGGGAGAGAGAGAGGGTGGGTGAGCGTGAGAGAGGGAGAGAGGGGGACAGACAGAGAGGAAGAGAGAGGGAAAGAGAGAGAGACACACTGACATCTCATGCTCACGCTCTCACACCACCATCATAATGCATCATCGTCGCCATCGTCGCCATTACCTCGGGTCTGGCGGTCGCTGCAGGTGACACGATGAGGCCCTCACTGTCACTGGACAGCACGGGAGCGAGGTGCGAACGCGCGGAGGGCCGGGGTGCCCGAACCTCTCCCTCCTCCGTGTCCTCCTCCTCCTCTTCTTCTTCTTCCTCCTCCTCCTCCTCCTCATCTGGAAGCAATGCAATTGCGTGTCACGATATATCAAAAACAAAATATATCGTAAATGAGTAACGTGAAATGAAGTGCGAGCCGAAACTAGAACATAAACAAAAACAGAAAACGGTGACAGAAACGATTTCGATAATATTTTGGGGCATGATTATTTTTAATAGATTATAAAACATACAAGGTCGCAGTAGCTTCGGGCTAAATCCTTCGCAGCCACTCACAGCCAACAATCTATCAGCACTCACCCGACTTTTCTGAGATCGACCTTTCTACTATAGTTTCCGCGAGCTTACTCTCCTCCGATTTCTCGCCATCTACCGGTAGCTCCACCTATAAAGTGACAACAGCGGCACCATTAACATACACACACCAGTAATCATTAGTGGGCGTGTGTGTGTGGGAGGGGGGGGGGAAGAAGTACAGCGGTAAGACTCCAATATTACATTATAGGAGCTGATCCTGTAGCAGAAGCGAAGGGCTATGCAGGTATAGCTATGTGGTTCATATATCCATGTAGCTGGAGCGAAGGGCTACATGAGTAGAGCTATGTTGTTTGTATATTCCTGTGGCAAGAGTGAAGGGCTCACAGGCAGAGCTATGTTGTTGATACATCCCAGTAGAGGATGGGAAAAGCTACCTTGCTAGAGCAATGTTGTATATACATCCCTGTAGCAGGAATGAAGGGCTATGCAGATAGAGCCATGTTGTTCCTACATCCCTGTAGCAGGAATGAAAGGCTACCCGGGTAGAACTATGTTGTTCACACATCCCTGTAGCGGGAATGAAGGGCTACCCGGGTAGAACAATGTTGTTCATTGAAATACAAGGGCTCACAAGCGTAGAGCAATGTTGTTCCTACATTCCGTAACGGGAATGAAGGGCTACATCACGCTAAGAGCAATAGTTGTTCACACATCACTTGAGCGGACAATGCAAGGGGCTACACAAGCTAGCAGCAATGTTGTTGAGTACATCCTGTAACACAATGAACGGGCTACACAGCTAGAGCAAATGTTGTATCTACATCCCTGTAGCAGAATGAAGGGCGGACAGCAGCTAGAGCAATGTTGGTATACATACATCCCTGTAAGGCAGAAATGAATGGCATACAACGGGTAGAACGTAGTTTTCCCCATACATACCCTGTAAGCGAAATAAGGCTACACAGCGTAAGCAATGTTGTTCCTACATCCCCGTCACACGGGGAGAATGAAAGGGCTTACGCGGATAGAAACTGACTGCTTGTTAAATACACCCTGATACGCCAGGGATGAAAGGCTACCTGGGTAGAACTATGCGTCATACATCCCGTAGACGGGAATGAAAAGCTACACACAGGTGAGAAGCAGATGTTGGTCCATGACACTCCTGAGCGGGAATGAAGGGCTACGGCGGGTGAGAGCCAGTGTTCCTTCCTAAACAATTCCCTGTAGCAAGGCAAACGAAGGGCAACACAACAGGTAGAAGCCCATCGTTGTTCCTACTCCCTGTAGCGGGAAGTAAGGGCTAAACAGGTAAGAGCCAAATGGTTGTTCATACATCCCTGTAGCGGGAATGAATGAGACTACTACGGGTAGCAAGCCCTACTGTGTTCTAGCATCACCGCTGTAGCAGAATGAAGGGCTACAACAGCTAGAAGCAGATGTGTTACATACAGTCCCTGTAGTGGGATATGGAAGGCTAACAACAGCATAAGAGCAATGTTGATTACATCACATCCTCGTAGCAGAGAATGAAAGGGCTACAACAGCTAGAACTGATAGTTGTTTAACACACCTGTAGCGGGAATAAGGGCTAACGCGGGTAGAGACAGTAATTGGTTCATAACATCCCTGTAAGCGGAGAATAGAAGGCTACGCGGGTAGAACTATGTTGTTCAAACACTCCCTGTAGCGTGGAATGAAGGGCTACGATGGGGTAGTAGACTACCCGGGTAGAGCAATGTTGTTCATACATCCCTGTAGCGGAAATGAAGGGCTACACAGCTAGAGCAATGTTGTTCATACATCCCTGTAGCAGAAGCGAAAGATTACGCTTCACTACGGCTCACGCACCGGTAGAGCTCGGCTTCGCTACGCCTGCGGCAACATCGAATCACTTACGGTAGTACTGAGAGGTTCTCCCAGCTCTGCTGCGATGAGATCATCAACATTCTCCTCCACGGCTGGCTTCGCGCTTCCCGTCCCCACCTTCACTTCAGCTGATGTAAGTAAATGAGCAAATCATTTGCAACTTGCCAATGATACGCACAAAGTACACAAAGCTACTTGGTGTTTTAGAATTAGTGGCGTTTACTACCATCGATGCAAATAATTTACAACTTGCCAATGATATGCACGAAAAACAAAGTACTCAAAGTTACTTGGTGTATTAGAATTAACAGCGCTGTCAGTTTACTACTACCGTCGACACAGCTCCACTTGCACGTAACCTACCCGTGGCTGTGGTACTTGAGCTAGCCATCTCATTTTCCTCCTCTATGAGACTAGATTTTGCATGAATCAGCTTTCTTCTTGCTGGCGATGGCTGAAATACAATCCAGAGTGAACGCGTTTATTACGATGTGTGATGATGAGCCGTTTGAAGTTTGTCCCTCGCTTCTAAAGAGACCCTTTATCGTGCAAAGCTGTTTACTTATATGCAAACATGCTGTTTTGGGAATGACATCATCACACTGATAGGTGCTGCTGACATATTCATGAAAGCGTGAAAGAGTTAAATATGGATAAATAATATCCAACAAACTCTCTAATAATAGTGGGTCAATAATAATTACAGATCAATAATATAACTAATACACCATTACATCCACCTGAAAGAGTTTCTCTGTGAAAAAGACCATTCAGCGCACATACTTGTATTTGCTTTACTAAATTACTCAAATGGCTTAATGACTTCATGAATGACTTTTAAACAGACTAAGCCAAGGGCCCATAGGCAGAAGCAAAATTAGTCTCAACATTAGTCTGAATGTGAACCTTTCCTCGTAGACCGTTGACAGAATTCTGTTTCATGATTCTACGACTAAATTTGCTAGGATTTTTCATTCTCGTAACCTCACGACGTTTCCATCGGCGGTCCAAGAGAAAAAGTTCTAGCGTCAAGACTAACATCAAGACTAATTTCATTCCCGACAACTTCTATGTCGGCCGTTGCAGTCGCGTCACGCGCACGCCACACCTTGTGATCCCTGGGCTTCGGAGCAGGAGGTGGCTTCCCGATCGGCGTGCTCGCAGACTCCGGGGCCGACGGAGGAGGAACCGCTGGCGCCTCCTTGCGGGGCGTGACCGCCGGTGGCGCCACCCGCTGGGAGGCGACGTCCGGCCTCGCGCGGCGGTCGGAGACGGGAGCGAGAAGGTCGGCGTTCGTCGTCGAGCCGGTGGCGACGGCAGCGCGCGACAGCTCGCTGCGTTCCCCTGGCAGCAGCGCGGCTTGCTCCTGAAGCTGAGGAGTCGTCGCCAGCACCTGCAACGATTGCGATACGCGCGGAGTGAACACGCGCGTGTATTGTAGTGTAGTGTTCTGCATAGTGCAGTATATCTTGTTATGTCGGACAATGCTAGAGAGTTATGGTACGAGAAAGCGATGAAGCGAGAAGAATGAGAAACTCGCAAGAAGATGCGAGTCAGTAGCACCTGCAGAGATCACGATACCCGCAGGGTGAACACGCGCCTGTAGTGTTCTGCATACGCTGTTATGTAAGGCAGCAGCAGCGAGCTATGGTAGGAGAAACTAGAGAGGTGAGTGTCTCGTTAGCATCTTAGAGACGAGAGGTCACCATGTATCCCTCGGTGACCTTCCGTCAGATAAACGGCGACGCGACTCGTAACGCGCACGTGGATGTGGCGCTACCTGGGGAGCGGTCTGAGTGGAAGCGCGCGGTGATATGTAGGTGAATTCCCAGTTCAACGACACGTCCATGGTTCCCGTCACAGCGCCGTCCACCTGAAAAAAACAAAAGTGGAAAAGATTATGTACCTTATATACATAGACAGGATTAGACAGGACATTCTAAAAGCAATGCGTAGCTAACGGCATGCTGCTACGACGATAACATTCGTGTGCGCCGTGTATAGACTGGAGTTTCGCTCGACCGAACAACCTAGCAACATCATCCAAGGTCGGACGGATAGATTCTCGCGCCCCATGGCTTACCTGTGTCAGCTGGAAGGTGCCCCTGACGGCGGTGTCGTGAGCGAGGGGCAGCAGCGGCACACGTGCGACGCCGAGGTAGGAGCCGTGCTGCGCGTCCGTGTCGTCAAACACGTAGCATCGCAGCTCCTGCAAACACCACGCCATCGTTGCCACATATATGACATCGAAACTTTCCTCCATGGTGTAGTAGTTCAACTCCTTTCAATCTGGCTACACGCACCCCATCAATACTTCGCGTATCTACAGTATCTGTCAACCACTCCTTTAGTGTGAACTGATCCAATGAATAACACCTAACCAAGATGGCGGCACTTAACCAAACCTGAGGTTTTCTTAATTGAAATTTTAATTAATAAATTTTAATCGTAATCAACACTCCACGTATCTACAGTCGATCACTTCTCCAGTATGAACTGATCCCATGGCGAACATCTAACCCATGGTTCATACAGGACTGGGAATTTTTTTTCAAGGACTTTTCAAGGACATTTTATCGGAAATTCAAGGACATTTTATCAGACATTTTATCGGAATTCATACACGGAACAAAACATACCTGGATTAATTTAATAACCCCATTCTTAATCACTGCATGTCACGTCTAAAACTTACCTGGATCACATTAATAAACCCTTCTAAACACTGTCTCTTCTACAACATACCTTGATTTACTGACTGATTTTAGTGACTTACTGTAATTTGTGATCATCATTTAACTGTCTATCGTGTCTATAGCTTTTTAAGCTCATTTAACGCAATTTTTATTGAGGTTTGCACATTATTGATGGTACAAAATTTCTTTTTATTACAGGCAAGGATTTATTCTAAAAGTTCAAGAACATTTTCATGAAATTCAAGGACTTTTCAAGCACAAAATCAACATTTACTAAATTCAAGTACTTTTCAAGGACTCCCCTCAAATTCAAGGACTTTTCAAGGACTGTGCGAACCATGTAACCAAAATGGCGATTCAACCAACTGAGATTTGAATTCATAAATTTTAATCGTAATCAACACTCCACGCATCTACAGTCGATCACTCCTCCAGTATGAACTGATCCAATGGTGAACGTCTAACCAAAATGGCGGCACTTCGCCAAGCCTGAGATTTTCTCACCTGAGATTTTAGATATCTGTCGAGGTCCCAGTCGACGGGCACCGGGAAGGTCATGTGATCAGCAAACTGCGGGTTATTGCTCGATGGAATGATGGCTGTGTCGTGATCGGCAAAGTCATAGAACTTGTACACGACGTAGGGAGATGGCTGAACGCCTGCAATAACAGCAAATTAAAAAAATAGAAAAGAATATATAAGAAAAAATAATAATAATAATGATCAAGTAACAAAATAAACACAGGTGGCAGCACACGTCTTGCAGACCGCTGTTGTCATGATCATCAAAATGACACGGTGATAAAACTGTTGGCATTAAACCAAGATGGCCATAACTGGTCAATATACCTCTTCTGCTATTGCTAACACTCATGTATCGTTAACAAAACACTTGATCTCAGAGTGACACCGTTAGTATCTATACGCGTTATATCTACTCGCACATCACGTAGGAATGATGCGTCATGACACAATGCGCTGCAGCACTGCAGCGCCCTCTCTCACAAATCATGGTCATTATTATGGTCGTTACTGTAACGTTATTATGGTCGTTACTGTAACGTTATTATGGTCGTTACTGTAACGTTATTATGGTCATTACTGTAACGTTATTATGGTCGTTACTGTAACGTTATTATGGTCGTTACTGTAACGTTATTATGGTCGTTACTGTAACGTTATTATGGTCTTGGCTTTCTCTCTCTTTCCATCTCTCTCTCTCTCGCGCTCTCTCTCTCTCTCTCTCTCTCTCTCTCTCTCTCTCTCTCTCTCTCTCTCTCTCTCTCTCTCTCTCTCTCTCTCTCTCTCTCTCTCTCTCTCTCTCTCTCTCTCTCTCTCTCGCTCGCTCTTTCTCTTGCTCTCTGTCTCTCTCACTCTCTCGTGTTTCTTCTCTGCCTCCTCACATTCCACCCATCTTTTGTTTTCTTTTGTTTGCTCTCCCCTGCCTCTCTCACCGTCTTGGCGGGAGCGCAGTGTGCTGCAGCAGATGATTCGCACGTGCAGCTCATTGATGCTGTCGGACGGCACGGACGCCGCATCGTCGTCCAACACCCGCAGTGCCCTCTCTGTCTGCGTCGTGTTTGCTCCCAGGTAGCCCAGTGCCTTGCTGCGCTCCTGTAATGATGGATGCAGAGCTATAGGGTTGCGATAGGCTTAAGATGACTAGTGAGCGAAGTGCTCACATCGATGAAATAAACACCCGTTAACAAACTATTATTAACCGAAAAACTAAAGCTCCTTAAGCTGAAAGCTCTCTTTTGGCTGATTTTTTTTTATGGAATTTTCTAAGGCAAGATCAGACAAACTACGTCGTTAATTATAAAGCTCATGTACCTCGGTACAAATTCAGTAATTTTTGGACATGTACTCTCAAATTATTAGCAGTGGAGTAAATATGGCAATGTCATTATTACCTTGTAGAGGCGCAGTGCTTGGTCCATTGGCACACGCAGTCTTACCCAGTACTCCAGCATTCCATAGTTGAGGGCAGGTTCACCATTTTGTATGCCTGCATCAGAATACATCGATGCATCGATTAATCGACATTGCATTGATTTAAAATGGAGAATTACTTATTTTTCATCGTTCATTCGATTATATAGATACTAACACGAATGAGAGGCCATACCAGGGAGGGGTAAACTAACAGTAAGGGGTGGAGGGGGAGCTGTGGGGGTGATGTACCAGTAAGGGGTGGAGGGGGAGCTGTGGGGGTGATGTACCAGTAAGGAATAGGAGGGGGGACCCGAGGACGGATAGAGAAGATTCCAGTGAGGGGTAAAGTGCGCAGCAGTGGCAGGCTCAAGCACGTACTTGTGAGTGTAGCCGTCCCGCGTAGACGCCCCTGAGACTTGTCCAATATGCTAGCTAGTTTCAGCGTGCATGCAGCCAGTGTGAGGTAGTCTGTACCGAGCGCCTGGTGCAACTCCACGACAACGGCCTCCTGCATCCATGACGACGAAGAAGACAGTGTTTTGAGTTTTGATCACACGAGCGGAACACAAAACGCACTCGTAGGCAAGAGCATACGTGAGATGTACTGCGAGGGATGACAGGGTGCTCTCCCTAATAATTCCAGATGACGTGTTCTCTAATGGATGGCCGGCGGAAGGCCCAGAAGGGGGTGGTATCGATTGAAAGCAATTGATATCAAAAGCAGACAACTGTGAACAAGCAAACTTATGGGGAGTGTCAGTTTGGAGAAGTACACATCAAGCTGCATAAACACAGCATGACTGTGCTGGGATTGTCAAAAGTAAACGCAGCTAGAAGTTAGATTCGAAGATTAGAAGTCGATTAGGCAACTGAGGCATGTCAAAGGATTTACAGGATGGCGCAAATTAGCTTCAGATTTGAAGGCACGTCGAGCCCAATGTGTGTTAAAGACCTGGGTGAAACCGTGGATGAGTCACATGAAATAATACACTGACCTTCTGTATGTAAGCCAGGAAGAAATCATCAACTCTGACCACATATTGCGCAGTGAAGTCATATTCTGGCCTAAAAACCGAAACATAACCACATTAGTTATGTTAGCATAACAAATACAAAATTATATCACCCCCATACTATACAACTACAAACCTTCCACTACACTACATTTCCCATTGTTAGAATAACTGAATTATTCCGTGCATTCATGCATAAACAAATGACCAAAAAACATCTGCAATAACAAACAGGTTTCAAAAATGAAAATGTATTATGAATTGAAATTATGAAAATGAATTAATATTTCACTGTGATTTTCACATTTTGAGATCTTCACGCATACTCCACTATCGATTTAACACGTAACAGGTCACATATGAACACACCCAAACACACTCGCACGCACGCACGCATGCACGCACACACAGACAGACGACGTGGCACCTACACGGACGTACCTCGACTGCTCGAGCTCTTCAGCACGGGCGTCGAATGCAGCTCGCATGCACACACACGTACACACCGCACGCACGCACGCACGCATGCACACACACACACACAGGCGATACTGGCATACCTCGAGCTCTTCAGCACGGGAGTCGACTGCAGCTCAAAGTCGAAGAACTCCCACGTGACAAACGTTGACGGATCGCCGTCGCCCAACGCCGACAATCCCTCCGCCGTGAACGCCACCTAGCGGCAAACACAGACGCAAAAAGCTCGTAAACGCTCCGTCAAAAAGCTCCGAGAGAAAGAAGAGATTGAAAAACAAAGGTCGGCCGGAAAAAAATACGTCAGTGCAAAGCGAGATGCGCAAAATTCACGATGGGCTCGGCGGTCAGATGTGCTAAGGATGTCTCGAGGACGAAAACCAGGTGTAGTCCTCAGATGAACACCATCAGTAAAATGGGGGGAGGTGCAAAAACAACCTGACGCCCACTGTAAGAAACCTCGAAATTAGAGCGATGCTTGGGTCCGCAGGGTGCGAAATTAACGGGAGTCCGGAGTCAAATACTCCCTGATTTGACATATGCAGGAGTCCGTGCGACTCCCTGAAAATTCTGCTACACTAACTAGTTTGTTCCAGAGAATGGCCTCGCGGGATTACCATATTTTTTCAGCAAATATCCAAAGAAAATTTGGCAGACGTGCATTGCATAAATCTTCAAAATAAGCACGTGTTATTGTTATGCGTTAGTTTTGAACCTCAGACTGCGGACTCCCTCATTTTGCTGCGAACTCCCTCATTTTGCTGCGGACTACCTCTTTTTGAGGGCTGGACTCCCTTGTTCAAAAGTTCATTTCTACTCCTGGGTCCAAAGGCCCCACAGTGAGGGTTCATGCTTACCTTGCTGATGTGTATTTCTAACAGATTTTCTCCTCGTTCTAGCTGCACTGTCTCATCAATGTCTTCCACGTCACTCGACTGCATAAAATGAGAGAGTATCACGCAACTTCAATAATTACATTATGCCTGAATGATGCATGCAAACAATGTGTTAACAAAACTAATCTCATTGCGATGGAAATTCAATCAACTCTCTTATCTTCATTATTTATTGTTCTTATATTTTTCCCTTTTATCTCTCTGTCATTAGCTCTCTTGTTTCTCTATCTTATTATACCTCTGCTATCGACATTACAACCTTGCTTTCAAACGATTCAGGTTTAATTCCGACATAGTTCCACTAATGACAATATATCCGGAAATTGACTACGGAAAATAATGGAAATGTAGGCGCTCCTCAATAATTTACCCGTTGCTGATCCTGAAGCCTGACTGGCATTGTCCCATAGGCAACATCACGCAGCTGCTTCTCCAGTTTCTGAAACGATACAGTCACGATGACATTTTTTCATCGTCTACTTTTTTTTTACTATTTATTTTATTGTCCTACTATTTTTTCATCGTTGCGACTTCAATGTTCTGAATAAAATTGCAACTATTTGAAATGAATTTTTGCTACCAGAGTCAATAACAGAACAGAATATATATGACAGAGAGGGAAAAAGGGAGAGAGATAGGGAGGGAAGGAGG